ACCCTAAAAGAAACCCCAGAAAAACAAACTGGGACAAATTCAGGTCATATCTAGAGCTCAATCTTTCCAACGAACCGTCAGGATACCCTAGAAATCCCTTGGAATTAGATAGAGCGGTAGACAACCTGGGCCACAAGATAGTAAATGCCTTTGAAGACAGTTTTCCTCTAGGCAGACAGAAGCGGAAAACAGACGCACCATGGTGGAATGCTAGTCTTGAACGACTACGAGTAACCACTCGGAAGCTCTTCAACAAACCAAAAACTGATCGGAACTGGGAACTATACAGACAAAGCCTGACGCTCTACAACAAAGAGATCAGGAAGGCCAAACGGAAAAACTATAGGAACTTCTGTCAGGCAATAAGTAACGTCAACGAGGGCGCGAGACTGCACAAAGCAATGGCTAAAAGTGCAGCGGATAGTAATTTAGCCCTGAGGAAAGGGAATAACACCTTCACCTCCACGGATCGGGAGAAATTAGAATTGCTATTTGACACGCATTTCCCGGGGAGTACTCCCACTATGGGAAACGTAAGGCGTGATCAACATAGAACCCCTAGGACAGTAGCCGGTGACTGGGCAGCAGCCAAATCTATAGTTACGCCCGAGAAACTTAAATGGGCTATTGGAACCTTCCAACCATTTAAATCACCGGGATTTGACATGATCTCTCCAGCTTTCTTACAGCAGGGGCAGGAACTACTCCTAACCCGCCTAAGAAGACTAATGGTGTGCAGCCTAGCCCTTGGGTACATCCCAAGTGCATGGTGCAGCGCTAGGCTGGTCTTCATCCCCAAGATCGGGAAGAAAGACATCACCAGCCCCAAAGTCCTTCAGACCTATCAGCTTAACTTCGTTTTGTCTTAAAACGCTGGAAAAACTGGTAGACTACAATATCAGAAGAACAGCTCTCAGAGACTATCCGCTGCAAAACGCACAGAATGCATACAGAGCAGGCCGTTCAACAGACACTGCACTTTATCAACTATGTCGCACCCTAGAAGGGGCAATTGACAGCAAAGAAATAGCTATCTGTGCCTTTCTAGACATAGAGGGAGTCTCGACAACACATCACATGATGCAGTTCGAGCTGCCCTGTCCAGAAGGAACATAGACAATACTACGAGCAAATGGATTGGCAACCTACTTGAATCCAGGCAAGCAACATGTACACTGGGTTCGGGAAGAGTGACAATTGCATCCAGCAAAGGCTGCCCGCAAGGAGGAGTACTGTCCCCTTTGCTATGGAGTCTGCTAGTAGATGACCTTCTCAGCAAACTTGCTGGAAAAGGAATTCAATGTCAGGGATACGCCGATGACATCGTGATAATCGCCAGAGGCAAATTTGAAGCGACACTCTGCGACATCGTCCAACTCGGACTAAGGACAACGCTGGACTGGTGCAGGGAGGTTGGACTCAACTTAAATCCTGCTAAGACAGTCATCGTTCCTTTCACAAGGAAGTTCAAACTACAGAGAATGAGACAAATCTCACTGCTAGGAACTCCTATAGAAACTAGCCGAGAGGTTAAATATCTAGGAATCACCTTGGATAGTAAGCTGACCTTCGCTTCCCATGTCCAAAAGACATTGGAAAAGTGTTACAGAGCACTTTATAACTGTCGGAAAATTGCTGGGAAATTCTGGGGAACCAGGCCTCAGATAATACGATGGCTATACTTAATGATCGTGAGACCAATCCTCACTTACGCAGCACTTGCATGGGGCAAACGAGCTAAGCTCATCAGCATGCAAAACCAGCTAGGAAAGCTACAAAGACTTGCCTGCGTATGCATGACAGGGGCAATGAGGACCTGTCCTACAACTGCCTTAGAAGTTTTGATGGAGCTAACACCACTCCACTATGTGATTGAAATCCAACGCAAAGCTACACTCCTGAGAATAAGCACTGAGGGCACAGGTAGTGGTTGCATTCTAAATAACAGGGATGCGACTAATCTGTTAGGTGAGGTGCCCCTAATACTCCACCCTAAGGATTAAATGACTGCCGAACTAATCTTCGAGCAGAACTTCACAGCACACCTAGGGAATAAGAAAGATTGGACCACATTGTCTGAAGTGCACCCGATGGCTAAACACACCATTGCATGATACACAGATGGATCCCTGACACAACAAGGCACGGGCCTTGGAGTAGTAGGGCCTCGCATAAAATACCACGAATCCCTTGGCCAATACACCAGCATATTCCAGGCTGAGGTATGTGCCATTGGACATTGTGCAGAGCTCAACATACAGCGTGGATACAAGGAAAAGGGCATATCGATCCTTTCGGACAGCCGAGCAGCAATTACTGCTTTACATTGTAACAAAATCACCTCGTAGCTAGTCCTAGAGGTGAAGAGTAAGCTAAATATACTGGGCAGCCGAAACAGGCTGGCCCTCAGATGGATTCCGGGACATAAGGATATATCCGGTAATGAACTTGAAGATAAAATGGCAAAATTAGGAGCCGAACAGCCCCTGATAGGCCCAGAGCCCTACTGTGGCATAGGGAGGCACACTATAAAAGAATTCCTTAGGAAAGTGGAAGGCGCCATGAGACAAGAACACTGGAGAAATACCCCAGGCCTAAGGCAATCCAAAACTCAAATTAATAACTATAACAAGAAGAGGTTCAAGGAACTTATTCAACTAGGGAAAAATTCACTTAGGATCGTTACCGGATTACTAACCGGGCACTGTAGACTGAAAAGTCACCTAGGTAAGATGGGAATAACCAGCAGTAGAACTTGCAGATTCTGCGACATAGAGGACGAAACCTCTAGACACATCATTGAAGACTGTCCGGCGTTAGCAAGTATAAGATGTAAAATCTTAGGAACCAGAACTCTTACACCTGAGCTCCTAGGAAGAATCAACTCCTCGACTTTATTCGAGGAAGTGGGTTGATATCTGAGCTTTAGGCTCTGAATGGGGGTACAATAGATCTTACAGGTCGCGGTACACTGAACACCCCGATATTAATAATAATAATAAACATTTATTGTCGCGCCGCTGATAAATTCCAACGGCACGTTCTCACACTTTTGCCATATTCAAACTGCTTTAAACTTGTTAACAAGACAAGCAAAGTACTCTCTTTCACTCAATTAAAATTAAAGATCACTCAATCGAGAAAGAAAGTTTAGTCAATTAAAAATAACTCACTCAGAAGATAGAAAGATTTCGGAAACCGAGATTTGATCCACAAGATAATTAGATTTAAGAATCAGTTCAGTTCAGTAAATAAATTAGTCGGTGTTCTCAAAAATAAAAATGTTGTAACTTGTTAAAGTTAAAAAAAAAATTAAAAATAAATTTTTTAAAAAAACTAACCTTATAGTTCAAGCTTTTAATTAAATGTGTGTATACACACACTGTGTATGTATGTATGCTTGTGTATGTGAAAAAAATTTGGGCTCTATTTGTGCTTGCCCTGATTTTACATGCACAAATATGAATATGGATTAAAAATGAGTATGTACATATATATCAACTTTGTAGGTATTAAAACTTGCAGCGGAGATGTCGTTTTAAAACGACATACCTCCGCCCTTCTACAAGCGACATCTCTCCGCGTGGAGAAGAGACGTTTCAAAACGACATAACTCCGCGCGTCATATCTCTGTCGCTTTTAAACGACAGAACTCTCCCAAATAAATCACGACATATCTCCGCCAATCTTGATGCGTATGCAACTGGAAGTTGAATTCCATTCTTGTTTTGAGTTTGCGGAGAGTCCCTTTTTTTGTTGCACTTTTCTTACTTTCACCTTTTGTAAACGATCTGTAAGTTAGAGTCCATTCTTGTTTAAACTGCTCCACACGCCTGCTAACTAACATCTATTATTATGAAAAATTCTTTGCTGATGTCTGGGTATTGTACCAAAGTTGGTTTTATTAAAGCCGATTTAAGGTGTTTGAATGCATGCTGGCATTAAGCTGTCCATTCAAATTTTAATTTTTTTTATATAAAATAGCTCTGTGGCGAGAATAGTCGGAACAATTTTTAATAAAACGTCTAATAATGGCAGAAAACATCAAATCTTCTAAAGCTATCCGCGTCACGTGGGACTAGATAATTTTTAATGACGTCGTGTTTTCATAGGAAATTGACAGGTACAAAAAGTACTAAGGCTTACAAAGTAAGTGGAGAGAGAAATTGCAGTTATAGATATTATTCGTATTTTACTATAGATAAGTTGCATTGATAGCACAAGATTTTGATTTTTAATACTCAGTTCACTTTCATGAGTTCATTAATAATTTAAATATGTAGGCCACTGTGTCTTAACATTCTCCCGGCCGTTGAACAGGTGAACGGGTTCCGGATGGGATGAGAAGGTGTCTTCTTTTGTGTAATGCAGCGTTTTGATTGTACTGCACAGTTGTAACATAGTAAAAAAACGTTTGATGATCATTTGTTTTAAAATCGTGCCTATCGTTTTAATGCCGATGTTGACATTTCGAGCAGTGCATCCAGGTGAAAGAGATAGTAACCCAGTTCGTTGACTGCTGACCGTTGCAGACAGATTGAAGATCCAGTGGGTAACGGGTGGTAAATATCCAGTTGTTTCTTTGTGAAGTTTTGACTCTAACCATGTCGGAAGTTGTTTCAGTTATATCGCAATGCATTGACGATTTCTTGTTGAATAATTTAAAGCAATTGTTGGTTTCTTAGTTGCTTCGGAGAGACCAGGGTTGGACTAATTGTCCGATGATGATATTAGTTAATAGGTGAGGTGTTGAAAGTATGGCGGATTTTTACCCATAGAATTTACTTAAAGAAAATGGCTGGTTCAACTTTAATTCCACTTTTATTTGTACAACTATAACAATGATCAAATTCACTTATAGCCTTCATAATTGTACCTAAATAATTATACTTAAACCTAATGCTAGGAGAACGGGGGTGGAAACTGTTAACAGTCCGAGACCGAGATGAGAGATCATCTGGACATAACTGCTCTCGACTGTTAACAAATAACATTGACAGTGGCCCCTCCTTACCTTTCAAAACTTTGTGCAACAGGCAGCCCTCATCCAGATTTCGGAACCCGGGTTGAATGACATCACGATACACGTCAGAGCCCAACACCAGGCATATAGTCGCCGGGCGAACAAACTGTTCATCAGCGAGACGGATATCGTTGAATCTAGCGCGAACATCGTCGGCTAGGGCACGGATGGGAGTGCGAGTGGAGAAGTTGGGGCTGTCCTTAAGCACCACGTCGAAGGTGCCCGTCTGTGATATCATGGTCGCCGAAAAGACTGTCTCGTCTCCGCGATCGGAAACGCCGCGTCTAGCGATCTATCGATGGTGCTCACTGGTCAATCAGGGCACCCATCTCGGACTTGCTGCTTCCAGTGTCGAGAAGCACAATGGCCGTCGGGATGATTTGCACACATTGATGCTGCAGCAGAGACGCCACAGTTAGCGCTTCGGACTGGTCGGGAATGGTTTCGCGAGCTGGGCGTTGGACCCCGAGAGAGTGATACGGAAGCTTAGGGTCGTGGTGAAGTCGCCGAGGGTCGCAACGGAGAAATTGTTCGGCGACGCGAACTGGAAGACTCGCGCATTTGGAGCAAAGTGTGGTGGTCCTGCCCACAGGACCATTCCTTCGGAATGCTGGTGTGCCAGGCAATTAACGCAATACTTTTTGATGATAACGGCGCGGAGCCGCTTCTCAGTGCTGAGCCTCAGAAAACGGTTGCACTTCCGTAGAAGATGGATTCCCCGACAGGCTCGGCAGCGGTAAATACTGTAAAGAATCGTTATAGACATATTAGGTTTTATTAATCCGTCTGTTCAGATCGGGATTTATTTCTTGTCGCTTGACTTAAGAATAAAATTGGCTTGGCTTACAATTCACATAGTTGCACGAGCAGCGCAGCGGCCAACGCTTATGTATCTAAATATATATATTAATGTATGCATAACTGCATATAGGCGGCGCAAGCAGCGGCCGCGCTTGAGAGACAGAGAGTGTTATGCTCACATGATAACCGAATGATCGGCCGCGCATGCAGACCTGCCGGCTCAGTATTTAGGTTGTTCAAAACATTGTTGTTCATTGTTCATTGTTCAAGTGCAGAGTAATTCGACCACTCTGCACTTGAAGTGCTGGGAATATTAGGACATAGGCAAATGCTACAATGTTGCAGTGATATAAGTGGTACAGTGTGTACCCGATATGTGAGCATACTACATCTCCCTCCTTTTGAAAAATAACGTAATCTACGAAGTTATTTTGTTAATCATTGTGATATATGTGTAATATATATATATATATATAAATTACTTTTTGTTCATTTTGTATTTTTGTTTATTTTTATTTATTACTCCCTAGTCTGTTTAGGCAAAGGGTTAGATAAATGTATAAAGGGTTATCTTAACACAGTTATGGCTGCGGATTACCAAACCTAGACTAACTTAAGGTTCTGATTCGGCCACAGCTTGAGACCTTTGCCTGCTATCAGCGCTGTCACCAAAATGCAAGGTCAGCACTTGGTATCCAGCGATCATTCGCTGAGCGCATGTTCCCTGCGCTGCCGCTAAAGCGCCGGGTCAGCACTTGGTATCAGGCGATGGGGCGATGGCAACCGAATCGTGGATTCGGCAGTTTCCTTGCTGCGCGTGTTGCCACCGGATATGCCCTGCAACTCGACAAATTCTGCTCATGGGAACTGGGCGTGTTAACTCCTCCCTCTTTGTTCTTGGGTTGCCTTGTTCTCTGATCCTTACAGCGTGGTATCCTAGCCAAACGGTAGACCACAATAGGAAGGAGGCAAGTAGAGCGAAGAAGTAGCAGGGTCATGGCTGAGACTGCAGGCTTTTTCCTTAAAGTTCCAAGTTGGTTTATGAGGAGCCGTTTAGTGATACCTTGCTAGAGTAGGTTACAAGGTATGAGCCAGATATCTCTTGTTTTAGACCGAGGTCGTCGATGATGGTCACTTGGGCGTCGTTGATGATGAGGGTACCGTGGTCCACTACAGTAACTGGACTCAAGTGACCTGGTAGGGTGGAGCATTGTGCAGCCACCCCGGCCACCATCTGTTGTGCGCATATATCGCCTTGAAGTTCCTTGCAGAAGGTAGCGCCTACTATAGCTTTGCAGCCCCCGATGCTGACAATTCGTGCTGCGCAATCGGCGACTAGGTCTCCATTCTCGAAGTCTAGGATCTTGTTGTGGTGCTGAACCGGGTAAACTGTTATCTTTTTACAAACTAGCTTAGAGTAGGGGAATTTAATGAGAAAGTGGATTATTTCTGAATTTTTAAAAACGCTTATGCTATAAACTTCTAATATTTCTACTAAGCTTATGTTAGTAGGCTGTTTGTCTTTGAATTCGCTTATGTCGCTGCTATCCAGGATAGCCGGGCTTACGATGTTAAGTTTCGCTAGGGTTAGACCCATCAAAATATTTTTTAAGTCTGTGATAACAATTCCGTTTTCTGCTAAAATGATTTCTAAAAGGTGGGTTTCTTCATCTCTGTCTACTTTCTGAATTTGATTTATATAATTAGTAAGTGCATTTAAACGTTCTTGAAATTTAATATTTAACTCAGATTGTCCTTCTTCAGAGTTAAATAATTGTTCCTGATTAAACTTTATTTGCTCCCAATCATTAAAGTCGGGAGTTCCTGCAATGACTTTAAGTGCTGTTCCGATTAAGTTAATGCTCATAGTATCCCTGTGGTGGACTTTAAGGGTAGCAACTAATTTACGAATGTGACCTAAGTCAGTGGTTATTACTTGCGTCCCTTGATCGTTCGTAAAGGTCTTTGTCATTGCTTCTGTCTCGACCGCATAGTCCTCGTACGATGTCAAGTTCGTTGAATGTCGTAGGTATCCGTTACTATCCCAAATTACAATGTTACCGTCCACTATGGGGATGTAGTCCGCGTTCGTATAGTTGTTAAGTTTGACTGTCGCGTGCGTCATGCAACTGTTAGTGTAAGTATTAAAAAGTATTTCTTTAACCTAAAAAAATAAAAATGAAAGGGTAATTTTAGAATTTAATGGTTATCATTTTCGTAAATTGTCCTTATGGACCACCCTCCCTTTAATGAGAACCGTGGGCTCTAGGTCTGCTTTAATGGTTTCTTCTGAGCGCAAAGGTGAGAGATTATTTCCCAAGCGTTTATTTACCTTTAGGAACACCTTGTCTCCCACCTGATAACTCTTATGGGTTCCGTCCTTGTTAACATAGTCAAGAAACTTATCCTGTGCCTGTTGAATTTTTTCTTGGATTTCTTTCTCAACTTCTGTGGGTGTCGAATGTATTAATTCTATTGGTTTCCTGTTTGTTACTGTGTGAATAGTTTTATTGTATCTGTTGGTTGCCAGTAAAATGATTTCAGAAGTGTCGTTTAATTTATTTTCCAGTTTCAGGCACCTAGCTATTTCTGCGAGAGTGCTATGGAATCTTTCTACCTGACCATTTGAAGTGCTGTGCAGGCGGGGTGCAATTGAGATGCAAATATTAAAATTATTAAGTAGAATTGATTTTATCGTTTCGGAGTTAAGTGACCTCTCGTTGTCACAGTAAATAGTTTTTGTGTTCGGAAAAAAATTTACTACGTTTAATATTGGAGCTTTTACATTTTATTTATTTTTTGTACTATAGCGAATTTGGAAAATTTGTCCATGCATGTGAGAAAAAGGTTTCCGTCCGTTGAAAATATGTCGATATGAAGAATTTCCCATGCGCAAGAGGGTATTGGTGTTTGACCGTCTGTTTGGCGGCTGTACTTGGCCATAGAGCCGATTATACAATTTAATGTAACCTCCGATGATAGCCTTAGCATTTTTGGAAAAAAATAGTCCCGTAAAATTTGTTTTACATTTTCCTGAGCAGCACGGTTGACTCTATTATGCTCAGTAATTATGATTTCCTTTTGTTTGTTTTTATCTGTTTTGTCTTGAATTGTATTAATCAGACTATTGCGGTCCGAGAACTTTATTATGTGTCTCATTTTGTTTTTGAATAAAATAAAGTTGTCTACAGACGAACTGTCTCCTTCCTCAATTATAATTTGATTTCGGAAGCAGGTGACCGGGTTGTCGGACGTGGCAATAGTGTAAGAAAGCGATTGCTCGCTATGTATCGTAGCCGCGTTCGATTCTGGTGTGTCTTGCAAGTAGTTTATATTTTGGCGAGACAATGCGTCTGCTACAAGGTTTTCCTTGCCTGGTTTGTAAACTACCTTAGCTCCGTGATCGTCGATAATTCCTTTCTAGCGTTTAAGTTTCGTATTGGGGTTTTTATCCGACACAGCGAATTTTAACGGCTGGTGATCAGTATAAATGCGTAAGTCTTTTACTCCGTATACGTAGTTTCGGAGGTTTTTTAGGGATCAGACTATGGCAAGTTGCTCGCGTTCGTTTGTTGCGAAGTTTTTTTCGTTATCACGTAACGTGCGAGATATCATGGTAATAGGGCGTCCCCCTATACCGCCCCTAGACCGAGACCTGAAACGGCTTCGTCAAGTCAGGGTATGACAGTAGGACATATTCTGATGCTAAGATTTCTCTTAACTTATGAAATGCTTTCCTCTGCTGTTTAGTCATTTCGATATCAATTTTCCTTCATTGATACTTGCTTACTTTTCCATTTTCTCCTTTTAGTATTCCTGTAAGGGGTCCTGCTATTGATGCAAAACCTTTAATAAAGCATCTATAATAACTCGATAACCCCAAAAAAGAGCGGAGATTGAAGAGGGTTTTTGATAGAAGAAATTCTTTGATAGCCTAGACCTTTTCAGGTGTGGTACGCAAGTCCCCTTTTGATACTATGAATCCCAAATATTCAACGTTTTTTTTTTAAAACTTTGATTTTTCTTGGGACACCCTCATACCTGCCTCTAAGAGTTTCTCGAGAACCCAGTGAATATCATTAACATGGTCCTCCTTTGTCTGAGAAAAAATTATTACAACATCAACATACACATAGCATGTTTTTTAAATTTTTTTCCGTAATACTTCATCAATAGCCCTTTGAAAAATGCTCGGAGCATTTTTTAGGCCAAACGGCAATCTACAAAATTCATATTTACCGTTATTTATCGAAAAAGCCGTTTTTTCCTATCCCTTTCCTCCAGTTCTATCTGGTGGAAGCCTGATTTAAGATCAAGTGTTGTAAAAAATTTAGATTTGCCCATACTTGACAATATGGT